ATGGTGTCAGACTTCCTTTTCAATCCATCCATCTGTTCATGGATGTTTGTGTTGGTTCCATGTCTTAGCAATTGTGAATAATGCTACAATAAACATACATGTGCAAGCACTTTTCCAACTGAGTGTTCTTGTATCTTTTGGGTAGATACAAGTGGAGTGGAATTATTGGATCATACAGTAGTTCTATTTGTAGAACTTTGGGGAATCTCCATATTGTTCTCCACAGTGGCTGGATTAATTTATAATCCCACCAGCAGTGTAGGAGAGTTCCCTTTCACCACAGCCTCACCAGCAGTTATCTTTTTTTTTTTTTTTTAGAGGTTTTTGCATGCCAAAAAAACAGAGAGAGACAGAGAGACAGAAAGCGAGAAATCACCCCCCAGGGGGGATGGCCACACCACAATCCCTTCTCCTCCATTCTCTTGGGACCTTGGGCATGCACGCACACGCGCCCGGAATAAGTTTAAGCCGCTGGGTCCGGGACTCGAACTGTGGTTGACTATATGGGAGTCCAGCAACATAGCCATTACACTAACTGCTGGTCCCCATTTTCGTTGTTGTTGTTGTTGTTTTTTTTTCCTTTGGAGAGATTTTCACTATAGGGCGCGTGCGCTCTCCAGACAGACAGAGAGAGACATAGAGACAGAAAGCGAGAAATAACCCCCCAGGAGGGATGGTCACGCCGCAATCCCTTCTCCTCCATTCTCCTCTCGGGATCTTGGGCACGCACGCACACGTGCCCGGCGTGAGTATTTTAAGCCACCGGGTCCGGGACACGAACCGCGGTCGACTACATGGGAGTCCAGCGACATAGCCATTACGCTAACTGCTGATTCCCCATTTTTTGTTTTTTTAATCTTAGCCTTTCTGACTGAGGTTAGGAGGTATCTCATTGTGGGTTTGATTTGCATTTCCCTTATAATGAATGATGTTGAACATTTTTTCATATACTTTTTGGCTGTTTATATGTCTTCTTTAGAGAGTTGTTTGTTCAGCTCATTTTCCCATCTTTTAATTTTGTTAATCATTTTTTGGGGGGGTAAGCTGCTTGAGTTCCCTGTGTATTCTGGTTGTCAGTCCCTGAGGCAGAGTTTACAAAAATATTCTCCCATTCCAAAGGTTGTAGATTCACACATTTTCTAAAATCTGTTTAGGAGATCCTGTGCAGATTGACTTGAGTTCCTTCTGCCTGAGATCATTGCTTCCTTCATAGCACTAGATGGCACTCTAAGTTCTACTTGCTGTGAGTTTCACAAAGGCTTAGATCAGTTTCCTTTGCCTGATAACTTCTTTTCAGAATAAGATAGTGCATTAAGCTCAGGTTTGCCACTGGTCTAACAAAGGTTCGGTGGTATGGTGCCCTTCTCAAGTAGGCTCTGAGTAGCGGGGAGAAGCAGCTAAAGGCATGACTCAGACTGTGTGGAAAGACCGACAAACAGAGCCTGGGGGAACCCATAAGGACATGTCTGCTTCAACTTGGGACTGTGGAACATGGGTTTTGACTAAAATGGAGAATTATTTAAATTTCTTGCTCTACCTCCTCTGGCCCCAACCCTTGTCTTGTCTCTGACTGGTTTCTGGAGTCACTCTCCATGCTTTCATGGGTTGAGACAGGAATAAACTTTCATCAGGGAAACCCAGAATTCTGGGAGGAAGCCGACTGCCCATTCAGATTTATTTATTTATTTTTTTTTTCCACTGTAGAAATTATGAGTCCACAGTATTTTCCCACATAGGAAAATGTTACCTTCTTTCTTGGGAATGGGCTTTCTGGTTAGAAAGGTTAATTTATCTCACTACTCTTTCATTGCTCTGTAGCTACAGGAATCTTCACTGTCTCTGTTTTGAGCTCCGGACATTCTGGATGCTTTTGGTGGTGCTACATAATTATTTATGTTTTTCTGGTAGAGAATAAAGCCTACTCCATGATCTGCTCCATTATTTCCTAATATCACTCCATTATTTTGCATTTTAGGTGTTTGTTTAGAATCTCCGACATGCATGTTTACTTTTGTGCTATTTTTGTAATATATCGTACTTTGTGTAGCACAGTCAGTTGTCTTTTATAATGAGAAAAAATAATTTTGTATACTTAATTACATGCTTATCTCTATTCAAGTGGATCCTAATTTCCACCTGTCATTTATTCTGCCTAGAGACATTTCTTTCATGCTAATTTTTTAAGAGTCAACCTGGTAACATTGGATTCTCTCAGGTTCGTGTGTCTGAAAATAAAATATTTAAAACTTTTCCTTTGGAAAGATACTGTCATGGGGTATAGAATTATAGGTTGACAATCCCCTTCTACTCCCTCAGTATTATCCCTTGGCTTACACAATTTCTGACAAGAAATCTGTCATCACTCTTACCTTTCTGTCTTTCTATGCCTATTTTCTATGGCTGCTTTTTGAGACCTTTTATTATGTGTTTTTAGCAATCTGATTATGACATGTCTTGGTGTACTTTTCATTCTGCTTTAGTATCTTTGAGCTTTTTGAAGCTGTGACTTTACAGTTTTCATCAAATTTGGAAATATTCAGCTAATATGTGTGTGGCTAAGCTATATTGAGCACTTCAGTAGATAGGAATCCAAGATAAACCCACTTCAAATCCAATTCTACAGATACAAATTATGTTTTAGTTAGCATTCCTATGCATGACAGAACAATTAAGCACTAGGGTTCTCTTAACAGATTCCTACATAGCCTTTATGGCATAACTATAGAGTAACTTTTAAAGAAGCTGCAAAATAGGGGTTAATTATCTACATTGTTCATATCTCTCTTTAATAGGTCCCTATGCATTTTCTAAAAATTTGCCTGAAATATTCAGATGAATGTATTAGCCATTTTTTTTTTTTTTTGAGAGGATTTTTTCGCTATAGGGCGTGTGCGCTCGCCAGACAGACAGAAAGAGACACAGAGACAGAAAGCGAGAAATCACCTCCAAGGGGGGATGGTCACGCCGCAATCCCTTCTCCTCCATTCTCCTCTCGGGATCTTGGGCACGCACGCACATGCGCCCGGCATGAATTTTAAGCCACCGGGTCCGGGACGCGAACCACGGTCGACTACGTGGGAGTCCAGCGACATAGCCATTACGCTAACTGCTGGTTCCCAGCTAATGTGTTTTCAAAGGTGTTTATGCTTTTCTCTATGCTCCTTCTGGTACTCCAATTATACTTATGTTAGACTAATTTATATTGTACTACAAGACACATCCTGGGCATTTTTTATTGATATTGTTGTGTTCCCTCTTGTGCTTAATATCTTTTTCTATATGTTCAAGTTCATTGATGTTTTCTTCTTTGTATCTAATCTGCTATCATCCCATCTGCTGTATATATTTTTCATTTTAGATATTGTATTTTACATCTCTATAAGTTCTACTTGTCTCTGTTTCTCTGTCTCACTCTCTCTCTCTGTGTTGAGCACAAGCACCCTAAGGCAAAACAGACAAACAAACAACAAAAATAAAAACCTCTTAAAAAAATCTTTTGCTTTTCTTCATTATGTTCATGTTTTCATTTACATTATTGAGCATATTTGTACTTATAGTAGCTGTTTAAAGGTCCTTGTCTACTAACTACATCATTTATGATTTCTTGTCTTTTTCTCATGTTTGACTATCCTTTGCTGAAACTCCATTATGAGTTTTACTTGTATAGTGTCAGGTCTGGATTTTGTTGTTTTCCTTTAAAGTGGGTTAAACATTGTTCTAGCAAGGATCAGCTTGATTCTTTATTCTGGAGAACTTATTTTGTACATGTACTTATCAGGAGATGATTTGTCATTGGTTCTGTTAGGCATCTTGGAATGCTACCAACTCAGAACAACTTGGAGTTTATTTTCCTCAGACTACCAAGGTAATATAAACTTCATATGTGCATAGAGGTAAAGCTTTGGTTAAAAAAATATAAGGGCCGACTCTCACTTCATCCCCACCCCCCTCATCCAGGGGCAAGGCAAAACCAGAAAGTTCATATTTCTTCCCTTCACCACAGGAGGATATACTGTTTATATTTTTCTAATCTACTTTTGCAGAGTTTAGTTCCCTGGATTTACATAGATAATTCAGTTCTAATTATCAAATTTAAGCCATTCAAATATCTTATCTCAAAGAAAAATCTTATCTCCTCATTCTCTAGGTCACCTTTGAAACCTGATATTTTATTTTCCTGATTTAGGTGATAATTGTCAAGGTAACTATTTCATCTTCTGTGCTCATCATGAGAATTTTCAGTTCCCTCTCATTTTTTTCCTCCCTCTAAATAATACATTTACTTTACTGTGATCTAAATTATGGACATTATTTTATGTTTGTTTCATTTAGCATGTCTTGTTATTGTAGTTAGAAGGTATTTTTCAAATATTTATATAGCTATACTTCGTGTTATTGTTTTTCTTATTGGCAAATTCTAAAACTTTTAAAATTCTTTTTTTCTCTCTTCTTTCTTTTTCTCTTTTTTTTTCTTTGTAAAGAGATACCCTCGAAAGG